CCTCGTGAACCATTTATAAGCTACCACATACTTACCTGTAATACCTGTATTTTACAGGATTCTTAGATTTTTTAAAGCTCTCAAAATGCACAGGTTATGTGTGAAGTCTGCAGTGGTAACCCATTAATGAACTAAATGTCTTCTGCCCAAAGTTATTTTTTAACTACAACGACAGACGACAAACAGATGGCAATGTTCCTTGTTCAGCATTATAAAAGGAAACCGTGTTGAATGGTAAGCTTAAACAAGCTATGTTGTTTTCTGATTATTTTCACATGTGAAATTCAAGCCTCCTTCCTTACCTGATTTGTGTTTCAAATTTGTGGTCACCCCGTCAAATTCAGATTTATCGATTTCCCATGCAAGAGGTAGCTTGCCCAGGCTACTGGATAAGTGTTCCAAGCTATTTTCTTCATTGTAGATGATTTCCGATGTACTCGTTGGGATGCCAATGTATCTTGACGGATTATTTCCAGCAGGTAAAGAGGTATTATCAGGGAGGCAAGAAGAGCGGGTTGAATTTGGAGTTTTATAGATTGAGGTTGCCTGGTTGAGAAACGCATAGTCTGAACAGATGGCATAAATTTTCTCCCGAGTGTGGGTCACTGGACAGCTCCACGGGTAATGACCATCTCCTTTGTGACCCAAGGGTGTCCCCGAGGCACGAGTGCAGAAAGACTGAACAGCACCTTGTAGATCCTCTTCACGAGACTTTCTCTCGGATTTGTGCTCACCATTTCCAGAATCATTTGCCCTTTCTGCTTCTGCAATGTTAGGCATTGAATGCAACCAGAAAAGTTCTGTTACAAAGGAGAAGTTGTAACTCTTTCTACGACTTGAAAACCAACTGTGACAATCGTTTACAGCATTCTACAGAAACCTGAGAGCTGCAAGATGGGCTCCTAAGAAAAGAAGGAGGAGAAAGAAACATCAACAATCCACGAGAGACTCCAAAAGCACTGAAAAATGGATCAAGTGTTTCATGTGCCTTCATCCAATAAATATTTTACAACATTATACACCTACAGCCACATTCACTGGTCACTGTCTTATTAAAACATTATTTTACAATAATGTTTCATAGTAACAAAAAGAACAAAAATGAAAAATGGGCAAAATATCTGAATAGTGACTTCTTCAAAGACAGCATAGAAATGCCAATAAACCCATGAAAAGATGCTCAACATCACTAGACACCGAGGAAATGCCAATCGAAACCACAAGACATTACGTCACACCCAGCAGGATGGCTCTAATCGAAAAGATAGATAATAAAAAGGATTGTTGAGGATGTGGAGAAACTGGAACCCTCCTACTCTTCTGATGGAAATGCAAAATGGTTCAGTCACTTTGGAAAACAGGTCCTGGAACATTTACAGTTACCATAGGAGCAAGCACTCTCACTCCTAAGTACACATCTAAGAGGAATGAAGACATACATCCACACAAATGTTCATAGCAGTATTATGTACGATAGCCAAAAAGGAGAGACAACCCAAAGGCCTATCAACTGATGAATGAATAAATAAAATGTAGTATATATAAGCAATGGGAACAACAAAAATAAAGGAAGCACCCACCCACGCTACAACAAGGATGAGCCTTGAAAGCATGATCCTAAATGAAGGAAGCCCATCACCCCAGAGCCTAATAGTGTGTGATACCACGTATATGAAATGTAAAATAGGCAAGTCTCTAGTGACCGAAATTAGATTCGTGGGTTGCCTAGGGCTGGGAGGGAGGAGGAGGTTGAGGATGATAAGGGTTTCTTTTTGGAGTAATGAAAATATTCTATAATTGACTGAGGTGATGAACATACAACTTTGTGAATATACTAAAAGCTACTGAATCGGACATTTTAAACAGGTGAATTGTATAGTGTGTGAATTTCATCTCAATGAAGCTGTGCATTCATCACCACGATTGATTATATTTAATAGTCACTAACTTCTGATCAGTCTCAGAAAAAACTGATTTTCAGGTCTACACCAATTCCTTTAGGGAAGAAAGAGAACAGTTCAAAAAGCAAGCAAGGGCATTTGAGGAAGCTGAAGATTTATACAAAAGCAAGACCCTGATAAGTCAGACCATTACAGGTGGTAGAGGGTACTCGATGCAGGCGCCCGGCTGAGTGGGCCCACTTCACAGGGCTCTAGAGATGTAGTTCCAGAGACACAACCCAACCCTGGGTGACCAGTTTGACATTTACTACTTAATATCTCCACCCATTCACTTATTTTAAAAATTTAGAATAATATTCATAAGTTCCAGAAAAATTATTCTATAAAACCCATCACACAAATACTGAATGACAAAAACCACTAAGGCAATAAGAAATAACGGAAGAATGATTGCCACAAGGGCCAAGATCACTCTAAGTCTGTGAGGAGAAACCAGTAAAGGTAATGCCTGTCCTTCGTGTAATTTAAAGCAACGGAGCTCAGTACAAGGGGGAGTCCACATATCCTAGAAAAGATCCCATTATCTTTATTTTTAAGGACTGCTTTCCCTCTATTCAAACCTGATTTTTTTTAGTAATTGGTGCAGTTTATAGTTCTTTGCAGGAAGAATTGGCTGGAGCTTCACCATCAAAGATGGAAACCCCAACTGTATCCTTTTAGAAATGTTTTTCAAGAAATCCTAGGAGTACTTAAAGGGGATCTATAGACAGGAAGCTTTTATGCCTTCTTCTTCCTCATCTCCTGGCATCGTGGTCATGTTGGAGGAAGATGCAAAGAGAAGGTCAGTGCCTGAGGTCACACAGACCAAACTGGGCTTTTCTGTGGATTCAGTTTCTGATTCTTAGCAGATGACCTCACAGCATTTTCTACTGACCTGTTATCCTCATGCCTTTCTCTAAGAGCCGTCGTGGTGGGCAGAGGTAGGTATTATCTGTGGTATTGGGGGTGTATGGATGGGTTGTGGTAGGCTGAGGCATGAAAGAGAGCATAGGGTCCTGCTAAGTAAGGGTTGGTGACCAAAGAGTGTTGGAGTCAGTCTGGGTCAGGTGGGGAGAGGAGGGAGATAGAAATGTTCCAGGGACTACTCTTATCTCTTCATCTCCAGCTTAGCTTTGACTTTGCCAGAGCGTCCATCCTCAGATTTAATGGAATTCTGCCCGTGGGCCCAGCTTCTGTGTGGCAATGTACGGATGAAGGATGCTTCACTTGGAACATATATTGAATATGCTTATCAAAAACACAGGCAAAAGAAATCAGTTCATTTGAACATAAAGGGTAGGACTGAGCTTTCTGCAAGCTAAAGAAAAGAAAGAATATAGCACTAGATGAATAAAAAGTTTAACAGTCTGGTTTTGTTTGCATTTGGACTTTGCTATTGAATAATGGTCACTAAACAAGAATGATCTCTTTGGTTGTACTCTACCAAAAAAAAGTGAATATCATCAACGTAGGGATAATATTTTAAACTGATTGTCAATAAAAGCCACCAGTGGTCTGAAAACTTTCTCACTTGAACCATTGTTTAAGGAAATTTCTCTTTGAAAAACAGGGTGATATGTCTAGATTTTTATCATAGAAGTAAAACAAATGACAAAAAGATATTGCAAAGTACCAAGATATTACACAGAAAGTGAAAGTTATCCAAATCCCATGACCCAAGCACAGCTGGAGTTTATTTTCTTTCCTTATTCTCTGCCAGATCCATGTCTGTTCTCCTCGTGTCCATGACAGCTTGAGGCTAAGGGTGCTAGTTATCATGTCCCCAGGCTTTCCTACAAGTGAACTGAGCACAAGTTATTACTGAGAACAGAATCACTAGAGACAGCAATTACTGTATTATGTTGTAATTATAGCTTCAAGAAACACCGAGTTATAAGGCCATCAGGTTGTCCCTCCACCAAATAGCCTGCAGCTCCCACCATTTTGTCCTATCTTGTAGCTCCTTTTGTTCCTAATTTTGTCAACCATTCCCAATTCCATCCCCACCCTAAAACCTTCTGCTCTTAGAAAAAAGCCAACCGCTTGTCTGGCCCATGGTCCTTTCCTTTAGCTTCCCCTCGTCCCTCCTCCCCCTGGCTTTTTCCAACTTTCCATTCTCTGGACGTCTTTCACAAGGTTTGCCAGGGTTATCCTGAGTGATGATCATTTGTGAAAGTCTCATCAACAAATAATTACCTTTAAGCGCCTACATCATTCCGGGCATTATTTTAAGCTCTGGATTAGGAGCTTAGATTCCAGGATTTAATGGGAGAGGCCTCAGGAATCAGGAGCCGGGGACTATTAGCCAAGAGGCCTCTTTTTTCCCTCCCTGGTTCTCATCTGTGAGATCTGAGTTTCCAGAGAGCCGATGCTCTATTAAAATATTACAAGTAATGATTGACCTGCAGGACCTAAGGCTGAATTTAATGTATTCTTCCGATCACGGGGCAAGCAACTCGCAGTTGAACTGTGAGTGAACGAAATTTTATAAAATGCACCACTAGAGTAACGATTTTTAGAAGTCACTAGAAGGAATTGTTCTGTAAAATAAACGTTCCATTTTTAAGGTCAATATTCATCGCCTAGGCTACCTTCTTTTCTCTTTGTATTTTCAAGCCGTGTGTTTAAATATCAAGTTTGCTTAGGGAACGAAGATCTTAAGCGTCTCCTGCGAAGCCTCCCCCATAGGACAACTATTACGATCTCTATTCTGCACGGAAGGCCACGGAGACGCAGGAGCCTGAAAGTGACTTACTGACGGTGAAATACGCGCCCCAGGGCTGGGCCAGATCCGCTGATCCCCAGCGGGTCAGGTCTCCGTCCTTCTCCCCCGGTGTCAGCCCCACGCGCTCCGGGCCCCACGCCGGGCAGGACCCGAGCCCCTCCCCCGGCTGAGGCCGCGGGCCTGCGAAGGATACCGGGTCCTCCCGCGCGCCGCGGCAGCTTCTAACCCAGGCTCCCGGCAGGCGAAGGGAGCTCCCCGGCCCTACTCTGCGAAGCTCGTCGCGCCGCCGGGACCGAGGCGACAGTCTCGCGGGCTCGTCCCCGCCGCGCCCAGCGATGTGTGCGGAGGCGGCACCCGCCGACAGCTGGAGCGAGGCCGCGCTCTCTGCCTGCACGTCTCCCGCGGCCTCCCTGGCCCACGAGCGCTCCCCGGAGCTGGGCGTCCCCCGTCTCCGCCCCCGCAGCGAGGCCTCGGGACCCCTCCGCTCCCCTCCCTCGCGGGCCGGAAGCCGGAGTTCGCCGCTAGAGGGAGCGGGCGGAGGCGGCTGGAGCGACCGCCCCCAACCAGCCCGGGCCAGGGGAGGCTCCCGGCGCCGGAGGCTTCAGGGCTGGTGGGACGCGGACAGTTATGGCCCCCGCGCCGAGAGGAAGCAGCCGATTCGAGCTTTGCACCAGTTGATATCAATACTCAAGACAATTGCAAAAAAAAAAAAGAAAGAAAAGAAAACAGAAAAGCCCCTCCTGGGCCTCCACCCAGGGCAGCTTTGGCCGGCGGAGCCAACCGGCGGGTCTGGGTTTTGGGAGCAGCTGGCAAGGGTCCCGAGAGGGAAGAGGGAGGAAAAGCAGGAGGCTCTGGGTCCGATTCCGGAGCTGACCGTGACCCCTCCTGGTGACCCCCGGGCCGCAGAGCGGGCACACGGGGAAGAAGGGACGGTCGCCGCCCGTTACGGTCCAGGCCCTGCCTTGCGTGGCTTGGAGACCCGCGCCGGGCAGGAGCCACCGGCATCCACGCGGGCATCTCCAAGACAGGCTTTGTTCCCCAGAACACCCGACCCTTGTTTCCCTAACACTTCCCCCATTTTGCGGCCCAGTTCTTCACCCGACTTTTTCCCGGGAGGAGGACGAGCACGGATGCAACGTCCTCCACTCGGACGGCCCCAGGGCTCCCGAGAGGCGTGGCCCCTCGCCCCCCCCCGCCCAGGCAGCCCAGGGGGCGTCCAGAGCTGGCGGGCGTGGCAGGCCCGGGCCGCGGCGCGCGGGCGCCAGGTGGAGGGTCCCCCGCGCTGGGCGCACAGCAGCGGGCCGCCACCTCCGCCCAGCCCACAGCCCCGGATACCTCTGGCCTGTGCGGCGGGGTCGAGTCGCTGCGGCCGCCTCAGAGCGGGCACCGGTCCTGGATCACAGCTTCCCGCGCGCGGCCCGCGACGCGCCTCTGGTTACCCTGGGGCTGGCGTCTCTCGTCCCATTGGAGCGCGCGGGGATAGCGCCCTGGACGGCTGTGCCCGGCGACCGGTTTTCAGATATCATTGACAACACCTTCCTCTCATCGTTTTATACCTGCCCTCTGCACGTGCGGAGGATATGGTGACAATTTTTTTAAAATCTTAGCTGTGTCCCCGCATGCCACTCTATTGGGCATCGAGTATATAACTGGTGCCTGGAAGCGGTGACCGCAAAGTAAATAAACGAGTGAGAGGTGGTGAAACCTGGCAGGATTTCCGCAGGTCCTGTCGCGAACTACATGTCCCAGGAAGCCTCTGAGCACCGGCGCCCCTGAGCCAGCCACTTGGAGAAGGCCTTACTCAGCCCGCCGGCACGCAGGCCAATCCCCTCGGCCTGCACCTTGGGCTGGAACCTGAGACGGATTCGCCCCCAATGATGCTCCAGTTGCAGGAGCAACAGAAGTTTATCTTTGTCCCGAGAAGGAGGAGTAGCGTGGTTCCTGCTCGTTTGAGCAAAGCGACTGGCATCCATCAGCCGGACAAGCCCCGGCTCCGCCTGTGATTTTCCTAGGGAAAAGTGGAGACCCGCGCGCCTGCCCTGCACAGCAAGGGACATCTTCTGGAGTCGTGTTTGCTGCCGCGATCAGCCAACGTGCCCCTCCTCCCCCGCCCCAGGCGCGGCTGGTTCCGACCACTTCTTAGACTTCATTTATCCGTGGGTCATTTTGAGAGTCGGTCTTGTAAATGTTTAGCATTTTGCTGCTTTACTGCTTCTTTCTGGGGACAGTGCCAGCACTTGCCGAGACCGGCGGAGAGAGGCGACTCAGTCCGGAGAAGAGCGAAGTATGGGGACCCGGGCTAAAGGCTGCCGTCGTCCTTCCTGCACGCTATTTCTACATTCAGGCGGTGGATACATCAGGAAATAAGTAAGTCGAGAAACAGCTCCCTAACTCTTCTGGAATGCAGTTAAAATGTACTGTTTCTCCTTTTAAGTTTTAGCTGCCCAAGAACTCTTTTTTCCACAGCAGTTTAAATTCCAGGATATTTGGATGCTATCCACATCTGGTTGTAACAGCCTTTCCCCGTCCTAATCAGTTTTTCTCTGTAGCTTTAGAAGTAATTCCAGATTAGCTTTTCTCCTGGCTCTTCTTTTTTTTTTTTTTTTTAAGATTTTATTTATTTATTTGACAGAGAGAAATCACAGGTAGGCAGAGAGGCAGGCAGAGAGAGAGGGGGAAGCAGGCTCCCTGCTGAGCAGAGAACCTGATGTGGGGCTTGATCCTAGGACCCTGAGATCATGACCTGAGCTGAAGGCTTAACCCACTGAGCCACCCAGGTGCCCCCTCCTGGCTGTTCTGGTGGGAACTCACACGGGACTGGAGAGACAAAGCCCCTGCCCTTTGCTGGAAGTACTATTTCCACCCACTTTTGCATAAGCTGTTGTAAGGAATGTAAACCCAGTCGTTAAAAACAGTTGGTTCATCTTTCCCTGGGGCTACCCTCTGTTTTCAGGGACACATCTGCAGATAAGCATGATATGAAACGCAGAAAGAAAAATGAAGCACTATTTGAAACTTTACATTTGAGAGGGAAAGTATCAAAGTGTGAATCTCCTGCGTGTTTGTAACGAACATTATTTCATTCCACTGAATTCCAGCAATTAAAATAACTGAAAGCTTAGTTTTAGAATTCACATACTCCTGAAATGATTGTCTTTTTTTATTGGTGGATGCTGACCGTGTATATTTGGTAGGGGGAAAAAAAATCTTGGATATTTTAAGAAAAACTTCCAGGTAGCGAGGGCACAGATTGCATGGAGCACTGGGTGTGGTGCAAAAACAATGAATACTGTTACGCTGAAAAGAAATTTAAAAAAGAAAGAAAAACTTCCAGGAAGTTTTCCAAAGCAGAGGGGGGGAAAGTTATCAATTTTGTCACTTGGTTATAACAATTGGGGGAACTAAATACCATCTTCAAAATCTTCATAGCAAAAGCACTCACTTAAAAATAACCACCTTTTATACAGTGTCACTTAAATGATACACAATCTACTGGCTTTTGCCTGTAGATTGTGTATCAGTCTACACAATTGAGCATGTAGATTGATACACAAGCATGCTCAATGATTGTGCTGAGCATGATGTGTTACACTGCTCTTTTTGAGAGAGATTTTTCAAAAAGTCATTGTCTTTAGAGGCAAATTTCCAGTTGCATGAAATAAATAGTAGATTGATAAGAATATTTGTATGTATAGAATAAATAAGTGGGTTCTAGGTTTATATAAATATGTAGTGTTTACATATTCCCTTGCAATTTTTTTTTCCCTTGCAATTTTCTATTGAAATGTTTATGTGTGGACATTTGTCATCCTCCCCTTTTTTTAAATCTCTGATTCATCACGTTCATTCTGGTACTGAAGCATATGAGAGAAGGAGCAAACGTGTTGGGGGGAGAGTATGGAGGAAAACGCTAAGGCTCACAGACTGGAGAGCATAATCTTTGTGCATCTGTGCCTTGAAATCATCTCTGTATCTCGCTGTTCTTCCAGGTTCGCATCTTCTCCGGGTGAAAAGGTGTTCCAAATTAAAATCTCGGCACCAGAAGAGCAGTTCACTAGGGTTGGAGTCCAGGTTTTAGACCGAAAGGATGGGTCCTTCATAGTAAGATACAGAATGTATGCAAGCTACCAAAATCTGAAGGTAGAAGTTAAATTCCAAGGTCAACATGTTGCCAAATCTCCGTATATTTTAAAAGGTAACTTGTAACATAATTTTAAAAGAGCAGTATTTATGAAGCCACACCATGGGTAGGTCTTTGGTGTTCTGAGTGCTGAGTGAAATTGTTACTGTGATATTTTGTTTCTTTTGTGTCATTAGGGCCAGTTTACCATGAAAACTGTGACTGTCCTTTGGAAGATAGCGCAGCCTGGTTACAGGAGATGAACTGCCCGCAAACCATTACTCAGATTCGGAGAGATCTGGCGTATTTCCCTGCTGTTGATCCAGAAAAGATTGCAGAAGAAATCCCAAAAAGATTTGGACAAAGACAAAGCTTATGTCATTATACCCTGAAGGATAACAAGGTACGATTTGTGATTAAGGTTTGTTTGCCTTATTGATTTGCTTATTTGTTTGTTCTGACCATACAGCTCGAAGTAGCTACAGTGTTTTATTAAAAACCATTCTGTGGAATGCCTGGCTGGCTGAGTTGGTGGAGCGTGCAACTCTTGATCTCGGGGTTGTGGGTTCAAACCCCACGTTGGGTGTAGGGATTACTTAAAAATAAAATCTTTAGAAAAAAATCATTCTGAGTATCATTGTGATAAGCTTTATCTCAATGAAACCTGCCAGTACTTTTAGATTAACATAATAAACAAAATGGAAATAAGGGCGATGGAAAATAAACCGTTAACTTAATACATGTTCGATTCCCTTTTAGGTTTATATCAAGACTCACGGTGAACATGTAGGTTTTCGAATTTTCATGGATGCCATACTACTTTCTTTGACTCGAAAAGTAAGTGTCTCTTTTCTCTTAGGTATAATAGACAGTTTCAGCCCAGGCTTTTCCATATAATTTTTAAAAAATAATAGCATCAGTAGTGTTCTATTCTGGAACCTTATTATAATACTATTCTGGAGCTTTATGTCACATAGGCTACCTGTATGAATTTTCTAGGGTTACTGTCACAGAGTACTGCAAACAGCAGAAATGTTTGTTCTTTCATAGTTCTGGAGGCTACAAGTCTGAGAGCAAGATGTCAGCAGGGCCATGACCCCTCCCTCACCACCCTGAGACCTGTAGGGCAGGACCCTTCCTTCCTGTCCCTGCTTCTCATCACCTGCTGGCCACCCTTGGGGCTCCTTGACTGGCAGCCTCCTCACTCCAGCCTCTGCCCATCGCACAGCTTCCCCCCGTGTGTCTCTTTCTTCCCTTCTGGCAAGGACACTAGTCATATTGGATTGGGGTCCGCCCCCCTCCAGTATGACCTCAACTTCACTAATTATATCTGCAGCAACCCTAGTTCCAAATAAGGACATTCTGAGATACTGGGTTTTGGATTTCAGCTTATCTTTTGGGGGGGACAGAATTCAACCCACACAATACCTTATAAGGGAAAATGTCTTCAAATAAAATTGTTTCAATACTAAATCCACTTGGAGCCCAGAGAAGGCTTACTGTATGCTGAATCCTGTTCCTTGGTATAAAGTGATTTTCTCAGGGTTCTAGTGCGGTACCTCTCAGTGATAGTAAACTGGCTGATTGGGAAAACTATACTCATATTGTTACTGGTTGCTTAATAACAGTTTATTGGATAATCTGTGTCTATATCTTGACTGAATTACTCATGGAAAATCAGTACCTTCTCAGGTTGAGAGCTCTTTGAGTGAGTTTATTTTGAAAATAGGCAGCTACTAAGCATCTGTATTCTGCCTCCTTCGGCAAAGACTTCGGGATGCCGGCAGGTTTTCCTTGCTCATCTGTGTCAGTCCATGGAAAAATAAGACTATTCTTCAGGACTCCAGTTTCTCGAGATGCTCCTCAGACTGACCAAAGCCCCCAACATTTACCTATGGCTTGATTTAAAAAAAAAAAAAAAAAGAAGAAGAAGAAGAAGAACAGGTTCTTCGAACACACTGTGCCACTTGTCAGTGGAGGTGGTCTAGATGGGAAATCCCTGGAGCTGGCTTTGTTGTTGGGCTTCCAGAGTTGAGATTCTGGTCCCTCCACGGTCTGGGTGGGGCGTGTATATATTTTAATTGGGCACATCTGGCTCATTAACCAGGAACTAGGGTTAGAGTCCCAGTGCTTTGAGCTGTAACTGTTTTCCAGTAATTCCCTTTCTGTCTCTGATCATCCTCCAGTCTCTCGGCAGCTTTAGAACCGAGATTTTCTTCGTCATTTCATCTCTTTTGGAAGCCAGTCTATTGGCCAATTTGCACGTCCACAGAAAGGGTATCTAGTATGCATATATATATGAGAGTATTCTGAAAAATTACCCACTATTCAAATTGGGGTAATTATCGTCACCGGAAGCTTGTAAAGTTGGTCTTTCATTTAGTACAAGTTCTCATTTTTCTTGTGTTT